TGACAAATGGCTACCCAGCGTCTGATTGAACTGAAAGGAGGAATTAGAATAAGAGGGTTTTAAATATGGATAAGGATGGTGCATGGCGGATTTTAAGTGGGATGGAATTCCAAAAGGTGATGGAGCGGACAATAAAGGAGTGTTGAAATAAGAGCGATTCGTGGAAAGGGATATAAAGGTCAGAAGGACGAGATCTTGTGGAGAGTGAGTGGATAGATGACTTGAATTGAAGGAGATTGAATATGTAGGACGGACGATGATTATAGATTATTTGGTAAAGGAATGTGCCTAGGAAATATTTTCTTCTGAAAGAGGGGAAGAGCAACCCTAACTCGGCGTAGTAGTGGGATACACGAGAACGTCTCGGGGTTCCATCAAATCGTACTAAGCCATTCATGATTCTTTTCAATCTGTCATCAAGTTCCGATGAGAGGTCACCGTACACTACGCAGCCGTAGTCAATGTGGGGGAAGATGAGGTCGGATACTAGGAGTCTACGTGTGGAAATGGGTAGGAGATGGCGGAAGCGATGGAAGAGTTTCAGGATGGAAATTGAACATAGGGATATGGTGGAAATATACAATATAAATTATAAATAGCTCATTATAGAGAGGTTGAAATGCTGAACATTTCCCTCGCTTATACAGGTCCGATTTTTACTGTCTGAGATATTTTAATCCATGTCTTCAATACACTAGTTATCATTTTGTTTTCGGTACTATTTTTTCCGTTTTCGCCTCTCTAACACGACGTCGTGTAAAGATAAAATTTTAAATGATAGATCATTACGAAGACTATGAAATGGTGAACATTTCCCTCGCTTACAGTATGCAGGTTCGAATTTTAGTTTTTAAGATATTTTAATCCATATGCAAAATACTTAAATCCGACTCCAAACGACTTTACCCGAGTGTTACACATCAAAAATCTGACGTCTCAATCTGATTCACTCTCCACAATAGAAGTGCAAAACGCGTCTAAAGAAGTTTTCACTTCAAAAGTAGCCATTTAAAATAACATTACCATTTAAAATTTATATCATTCCAATTCAAAAATAACCCTTTCCAATTAAAACGTGATAGCCATGGAGCCAGAGACCAAAAATCTACCTCATAGCAGGCGAAGGTTTGAACGTAATTTACGAAAGTGTATTTTATTCTTAGTAAAATGAACCTTGTCTGTAACTCCAGAGCCGCTGCTTTAAAAAATGGCGACTGATTTAAAGAATATTAGGGCAGTAACTTAAGAATTGGAAAAAGGGAAATATATTGCGAAAATGTGAGATAAGTTTTTATATTATAACTTGTGTATATGGGTTCAAATATATTAAGCCAAAATTGTCAATGCGAGGAAGACAGGAAGAACTTTTTACAGCAAAAAAAAAACTATATTTTTTCGATCTTCTTTTGTTTTTTCATCAATAACTCCTAAACGGTGCATCGAATCGATAAAAACGGACTCTTTGAGAAATTAAAATATATTAAATTGTGCGTCGAACAAGAAACTAAACTTAATAATTTGGATGAGTGGATTGGTAGAAAACCACGGACAACGATCGTTGATTTTTACCAAATATGTCAAAAACTGATACAAATTACTAGAAATGATCCTGCAGCTTGGAAATGAGTTCTTTATTGGTTATTTTTCTCCATGTGTTAGTACTCTGGTTTCAGAGTACTAACAATATTAAATTTGTCCACAATATATCCACTATATGTCCACTAACAATATTAAAAAAAATTAATTTAAATTTAGCTGATATTAAATTCATCATATAACCTTGTGGTTATATAGCTATCTACAAGAAATGTAGCAGGAATTACATTAACTACCCAAAACGACATCATCAGGACCTTCGTAAACAAACTACAAATTAAAATATAAAATAAAAACCTTTAATGAGTTTTTGTTATTTTTTCCTTATGTAGGCATTAATTTTCCAACGGATATAGTAACATCGAATTTGGAGAACATCCTGAAGAGTTATGAATGATCAGAAGGGTGTTGTGTTCCACAAAGACTAGGCCCCACACCTCATTGGTCACTTGCAATAAATTATTGAGCCTTGGATGGGACCTTTTGCCCCACCCTCCATATTCACCAGACCTAGCTTCAAGTGACTACCACTTATTCCGCTCTTTGCAGAACTCCATGAATGGAAAGAAATTACAAAAGGAAGAGGACTTCAAAGACCACTTGGATCAGTTTTTCAACAATGAACTTCAGATATTCTATGAACATGGCATTATAAAGTTGGTGGAAATATGGAAAAAATCATATTAAATAATGGACAATACATTGTAGATTAAAATAAATTTTATTTCTTTTATACATTGAGTTTTATTTCACCCTGAAAAACCGAAAGGACTTATTTGCCAACCTAGTATTTTTTAGAGATTGTGCGAGTTGGTACTTAGATGGTTCCATATCAATTTTATCGAATTCCATCAACTTCGCAACGCAAGAGTAACCGTATTTCTCTTAACACACCATCATTACAAAAACGGCTCGAGCGATTTGGCCCAAAATAACAGGAAAATTAAAGACTAGTAAGAAATGGTCCAATATCAATTTTATCATATCTGTCTTACTACTATTGCTTAAGCATGCGCAACTGCATTTTCCTCGTCCAATGACCTAGATTGTCATGCTAAGCATATAAGGGATTAATGACGTTTTTGTGTGAACAGCTATTTCGAAACTTAATTATTCATTAAGATTTAGCACACCTAATATTAGAATATTATGGCTGTAGCTGCATAAAAAATATTTTTAAAATTTGTATTTTGTCGTTCTTAACAGCAAATCTTGCAGCTTTTAAGATAGTTTAGCAGTATCTGGCAATTTATAATTAGTTTTATCGGTATCTGATATAGATGTGACTGTATGAAAAATCTTAACTCAAAATGATATTAATAATTGAAGGAATAAAAAGCTTCAAAACTTCATACTCCATTATCTCAGTTAAACCTGGAAAAAAGGTTAATTTCGTTCTTTACACGCCAATATGTACGTAATTATTCACCCAAGAAATAATTAAAAATAAATAAATCCACGACAGAAACTCTCCTCAACCAACTTCTTTTCAGCTATTGTCAAAAAATATAGTAGTAGCCATATAAGTTTATCGACACAACGACGTATTTCGTCATTCGTGTACAGAATAAATTATTTAAATCGATACAAGCATACCAGTATTTCCGGTGAGTAATGTTACTGTCTAACGATAAGATAAAATGTATTTTATTCAAGTGAATAAATTTCTACAATAAGGATTAATTCTTAATATTCCAATTAAATATTTTTTTAAGATTGCATCAAATAGACAGAATAAATAAATATAGATTTTTAAAAAACAAAACATGATAATATCAACCATTTCAACCAAATACGCTTATCACAGTAGATTTCTCTAGGGGTTGAATATATTTATGCCCCTCCAACGAGATATTGCAGCTGCAATTCATAGCGTCTAGAATACTTTCACGAACTCCATTTGGCCTAAAAAAATACTTGAGAAACGCAAAATGAACAGATTCCAACGTTAAATAAATAAAATTAACATATTTGATTCGTTATACTTTATAATAAATAAATTAAACATAATCGTTAACCAACATAACTGTTTCTAAAACAGCATACAAATTAATGAAATTTGTCTACATAAATAGATCGTGATGAGGTTTCTTTGGAAACCGCTAAAAAAAAAGAAGAAAAAATTTAGGGACTATACATAGGTCAGTGTTATAGACAAGACTTAACAATTCAGTTTGGTTTTTAAACTACTTCTAAATTTATAGAAATCAAAATTTCAATAAGAAAAATCTACATGTCTACAGCAAAAAGTGCATTTAATAGATCTGAAAAGAATGAATTCATCAATATCTTCAGATAAAATTAATTAACTACTAGATAAAATAGGATATGAACAATTTCAAAAAAATTAGTCATATTAAAATAAATTTACCCAATCACCACCTCTCATAATTTAAAGAAATAGTACAATACAATACTCCAGTGATGTTAAAGCTTACTTCCATTTGACTGTGTTTAAAAAATACCCTTTAAATAAAATAAAAGATACTTTAAACAGTAAATATTAAATATAATCAATATAAGGAAGTCATTTTAAGAGTTTAAACAATTAAAATGATGTAGAAAAAAAATTAGGTATTTGGTATGAGCTTGTTTGATGTCTTAATGCTTTTTCAAAACATAATGTACAAGGTTTTTTTTTTTCAAAATTGGAAACTAGTAATGTAAGATTAAATTTGAAGTAATGTATACATTGATATGAAGTCAATACCCTCAATAATGCATGCATTGTGGATTTAGTGTCAACTTCTGAATCAAATGTCAAACATATATTAAGGCATATTTGATGAGAAAAGTTAACTAAATAGGCATAAAGTAGAACAAAATATATAAAACAATACTTCAAAGATTTAAAAAAATGTATAGCAACTTACCAATGATGAAAGGTGTTAATTAGAATTAACAATTCATAGGATTGATAGGATATCTCTATGGTTTATTATAGAAGAAATCCAATGTCAGTAAACAAACTCAATCTAAGAAATTATCCTTTCGCAATTCACTCAACACAAATGACATTTCAACACTGATGTTAAGCACTTCAAATGAATATTTTTGAAACAGGCAGCGTTACACTATAGTTAAATATAACAACTAAACTGGATAAATCAATATAATACCATAAATACGAACCGGCTGCTAAAATCTAACCAGAGACCGAACAACACGCCTCCAGACAGACGGAGCAAAACACTGAACTGCCATGGTAGACACCAGACACTACAAAATTCCCATTAATCATCAGTGCTGACAGCATCTACTTAGATTTGCAAAATGTTCAGTTATTTTCTCTGGAAAAAAATAACGTGTAAAAAAATATGCTTGATCAACAAAAATAAAAAAAAATCATTAAAAAATATCTATATTGAACCAATATTTAGTAGAAGTAACCACCAAAGAGTAACCTCCTTGCATGCAGGTTATAAACCTTAATGTTATCTAGTCTAGTGTTTTAAAGTCCAATTTTTACACTTTTATTTTTTTTTGTAATGTCCTTGTTGAAGTATTGTTCAAAATTTATATTAAAACCGACTCATAAAAAAATATTTTCCCATTATAACCATAGCTGTATAAGCCAATTCTCCCTCAATTCAAATGTAGTCTCTACTGAAAGTAATCCTTCAAATAAAGTGAACTATATAAAGAATAAGTTTAACGATCTGGTGGCATGGTACGAGGAAGTGACTGGTATGGATGAAGTCAGAATTATGCAGAATAAGGTGATTGAAGCGCAGGAGAAATTTGTATGCGCCCAGGAAAAAAGGCGTGAAATGGCCAAGGAATTGAATAGAATTCAAAACAAGCTGAAAGAAATATATTCTGAGCTGGATACAACAACAAGAGGAGAAGAAAGGTTTTCTTCATGTCCTATATTCAATGCAATATTCATTATCATAAATGTTTACTCATCTAATATACTAATGCAATTACAGTACTCCTCTTTCTCAGGTACCTGCAATTGATTACTACCGAGCATGCTATATTGAAGGAAGAAAGGAAATTAAATTCGGAGTTCGCTTTAGTTGAAAGGGAAGAACGGGACAGTTTCACGACATTGTCGTCATGCGTGAAGGAGAGCCACGAAAAAGAGAGGGCACAGGCTGAAAGAACAAAGTATTGGTCTATCATTGGATCCATTATTGGTACTGTAATTGGTATAGCTGGAAGTTCAATTAACAACGAATTTAAAATGAAGGAATTGAGAAAATTGGTAAGATTCAGATTCTCAATTTGTTTTATTTATTTGCTAATGTTCTAATTCTCTCACTAATTCTTAGATAATTAGTGATGAAAAAAATGACATATTAATGAAAATGTTTATTATAAATTACACATTATTCACTTTATTGTTTTGGAATTCCATCTCCTTCATTGCTATAAACATCAATGAATAAAAGCTGGAAAAGAAATTCACTGCGTATTAAACATACTAATATCCACTATGACTTCTTTATATTATGTTAAATAGGTGTGTTTATTTCTCAATATCTTTTCTTAAAATCATGATAGACAGGAATTAATACTCTTTTATAGAATAATTCTTTGGTATTACTTCACAAGTGTTCCATCTGGGTGGTGTTTGGACCAAGATCACATTGATCACACTTACACGAAATGCCAAGATTGTCCTAAAGAGTATGGTCGCAGTCAAACAAGTGTTTTCTATTTACTTTTTATTCAAATCGCCATAATTATCTCTAGTAGACTTAACTTCTTCCTCCTAATAAATATATGAAACAGTGGAAACAAAATTACACGCAACACTAAGTGCAGATTATCAAATATTAAAATAAACATTATTTATATAATTTTAAAACATCAAAAGCACTAAAGAATAAATCTTAATGATGTAACAACAGGAAAAAAAATTTAGATAAATGATCACATGTATATATAGATATATTAATAGTTAGGATGTTATTCTGATATGTTAAGCTGTTTAATATATGATAAAGTAAACATTAATATAACAACTTAAAATATAAAATAAGTAACAAATCAAGTTAACAAACATCTGGATGTCGGCAGGCCCAAGATCACATTGTTTATATTCAACAACAATGTTTATGTTAAATTGGTTGTTTTCATTCACTCAAATTATTTTATACCAAAATTTTTACAGATATCTGTGTTTCATTATTTTTATTTATTTTTTATTGCCTAACCCATGTAGTATTTATTGTTTCAACTTCTTATTTTTTCCCAATTAACCATTTTGTCAAGAAATATAATCATTTTGTCCAATCGGTAACTGTAGTAGTGGTCGCTATATTCATTATAAAATATGAATTTAGCTTCCTGAATCACAGGTTCTTACATTTACATCTTTTAAGCCAACACAGCCGATGTCATTATAAACATTGATTATAAGCTATATATTAAAATATTAAAAATGCAGTGTATATGATTTTTAATCATTGACATAAAGAAGTAATTTGTATCTTTAATTATCTAAAAGTTCTAAATAACATTTCTTTGTTGTTATTTAACTTCTTTATATCATATTTTGAATATATATTGTTTTAGGTGTATGATTTGACTAGTAACGACATAACAAAACTTGATGTGAATACTGCAACTCTACTTAACCAACATGAACAGCAATTATCTTCTATTGTAACAGAAATGAAACATACGGTGAATTCATTAATAAATGAAAAAGAACAAGAAAATGTTAAACTTCAATTAGATAATCTTCTACATACAATAAACGCTAAGCATTCATTACCTAACGAGAATACTGAAAAGAATGTTCAAGTTTTAGAAAACAAGGTGGAGGAATTAAAAGGATTACTCAATTCCTTTCAGAGGTAAGCTCTTCTATAGTGAAACATTGATTATTACTCTATTAACTATCATTTTTATTATCGTTTATCTAATACTAGTATATCTGTGCAAAAACTCTTGCATTATCTATCCTTCTTCTTATTCTATCCTAACATATTATTAGTATAAATGATATTAAATAAACACTTTTTTTATATAAAAAAAATCTATTTATACACGGATTGGTGAAGTTTCATACTTCATAATGTTTCATACTTGATAAAAACCACTAATCCATGATTTTTTTTCCTACTGGTTAACCAAAGATTATGAAATCTCAGTTATTACATAACTTTTAAAATGAAGTAATTTTACAATACCAATATATTAGCTATATTAAAAAAAAAACAATAAATAAAGTTAAACTTTTCAGATAATAAATTATACTCTATGAAATTAGTTCAAATTCAAGTTACTTTCTGTTCTGGTTGTATGATATTATTCATGAATTAGATTGTGGGATATAGTACTGTAAAACTTCTCTACGATGAACAGCCACGATTCCAAAAGATTCGTGCGTTGCAGAGAGGTGTTCGTTGAGAAAGGTTATACTAGTGGTCATTAAAAATTTAATATGTACATGCACATATCAAACAAGTTTATTACATTCAATTTTCCTTATCTACAATAATTGTTACCATTTATTTACTTCAGTTTAGGGTCTTGTTACTTAGTTATACTTTGTTCAGGTTGGTTTGTTACTGTTTATATAGTTTATTTTTTTGATATTTCGATGTACTTTCTATTCATACTGTTTATAATTTTAATAAGTTTATTAATTGTTTATAATTTTATTTTAATAAGTTTAATAAAAGAAGCAAGGGTTGAACTATGGCAGAGTGTAAATAATTTTTATAAACTGATAGCTTGTATCGTACATTATAGAATGAAAGTTATACTTAACCTTACTGTATTAAAATCTAATACAAATATTAAGTTTGTGCGGAGTATTCGCATTTGTTAGCTAATTTTATTTAATTGTGACATTTTTTTTAAAAATTATATTTATTTGATAACTTTTGTTTTAGGTATGATGGCCAGTTGGTAGCCATACCCAATGATCTAGAATTGCTTATACAAAAGCAGTCGCAGGAGACCAAAATGTTATTAATCGGTGTCTCCGTGATAGGTGTTGTCTTACCAATTATCATATCATTCCTCCAAAGGTAGTTTTGTGATTTCGTCAAGAATATGTGATTTATACGCTTTTCTGTAGCATTTATTTTATTACATACTGGTTTTACCTGTATATACAGTGTAAATAAATTAAAATTATGTATATATTATTTATTTTTTGTTAAATATATACCATCATTTTAACTGCAATGTTTAATTAATTATTTAATGTATGAATAATTATAATTCATTGCATGTTCTTATTTATAAGTAGAGAGGTGGAAAATTAGCTCTGATCCTCATAATTCCTGTAAAATACTTCATCCAATTTTGTTTGGTATTACTACTATATCACCTAGGGATTGGCAATAGTCGATAATACTATCCATATATTGATAGTTTAAAACGATCAATAGTCCTAGTGACTATCGATAGTTCGTATCCTCCATTAGAGATAAATTATTTTCAAGTTTTATATTTCATATTTCATTATTATTTTCAAATAATAATAATAATAATAATAATAGGAGGCTTAGCAAACTTGAAGGTTCGATGCTGACACCACCAATCACTTATTGCACACCTTTCCTCCACTGGTCACCGTCCAAATCCAGTCTCTTTAAGATCGGCTTTAACGCAATCTTCCCACCTTTGCTTCGGCCTACTCCTCGGACGTTTATTATTCAGTACAGCAAATATTAACCTTTTAGGAATTCTTCCGTTACTAAGCCTAACAATTGTACATGCCCACCTCAATTATATTAACCGGATAATGTTCATGCAATTCAGCGTTTAAATTCATGCAATTTTATGTTTATAGGAATAATTTTTATAGCACGTCTTTATACTGCTACCCATTTACTGAGGTACGAGACATGGTGATAATATATAATATAAAAGTGAAATGTTTGATTATGGAAAACTGTTCCAAAACCTTCCGTTAAGAAAATAAATGGAAAGAACTATAAAGACATGTTTAAAACTATTCTTATCAATAGTCTTGCTAACAATGCTTTTTTATTAAATTGAATTAAAAAAATTACTAACTTGGAAATTTAAAGACGTATGCTTATCTCTCCTCCTATTTTTACGAAATAGTTAAAACAATACTGTATGTCATCGTAGATGTTTCTTGTTTGAATTGGACATTCATGAAAATGAATGTAATTTATTTTTCGATATAAATTTATTATCCCCTCAATAAATTTTTTAATTGTTTATTTAATAATTTTTATTAGTGCCTTAACATTAATCTTAAATAATGTATCCAATATCCGTACATATATTATCACAGTAAGGCTCGAAATCAGTATTGTACCAAATATAAGCTCCTGTCATGCTCAAATACCATGAATGGGGTACCGTTGGATTCAGAATTTCACGGGGGGTTAGCGAATTGTATTCTCCACTTTTGTTTTTCTTTCTAAAATAAATAAGTTCGATAGATACATTTTGCGAGGCTTCAATACTGGAACGGTGGTAGGTCTGTAGATCGATGCAGGACAAATTGGACCTTGAAGATTTTGATGCGTACAGCAAGACCCAGATAGTGTCTCCGGAACTATCTGATCCTGCGTTTTTAAGCCCCAAAACGTTCTATTTTCGAGATAACGCAAGGCATGGGGTTCGCATCCACACAACCTGACGTTAATTGTAGTACTGCTTGGATACATGTCTCATTTGGTCGACTTGAGGTCTCTATGATCGAGACAGGAGGAGTTTATATTATTCATCGATGGTGTTTTTGATCGGCAAGCCATATCATCGTTAATTCTTCACCTAATCCTAAGATTGAGCCATCAATTTCGAAGGCTTCCTTCTCCTTCAGGCGGGCAAAATAGTCACCCCGAAAATTCAGGCAACAAGTTATGAAAGAAAAGAAACTTTATTTGCGAATAACTAAAAAATTACACACTTTTCCCTTGGTTATTCCCATGATTATATAAAACATTACTAAATTGTCTACAAAAGGGAAAAAAAATCATTAAAATCGGACAATTTTTCGCGATGATACAGCTTATTGAAATTTGTAAATATGTTGGTTCCAAACAAAAATGAAAATTTAAATTAATTTTGTTTTCTTTGTCGATTATATTTATCCATAAAGTAACAATTGATTACTTTTTTTTTTTGATATGGTGCATTATTTTATTTTCTTATTAATTTGGCATTTGATAACAATAGGCTGTGCGAATTTTTCGCACTGGCCTACTAGTAAATGATAATTATTGTTATGAAGCTTATGCAGGATTTTATGGTAAATAACTAAATAATAGAGCGAAAATAAGTCTTTCTTAAGTCTAGAGTGGGAAGTTATTAAACTATCGATAGTTTTTCATTGATAGCATTGAACTATAGAAAATGGAAAACTATCGACTATCGCCCATCCCTATCTAGACTCTTAGTAAATTTACTGCATGTAGTATTTGTCAAGACAAATAAAGAGGTGCTGAAATACTTTCAATAATCTCAAGCTGTTCTGATGATGAACATCAAAATTTCTCTCAAGAATTTATTAAAACTATCCTTCATATCAGGCCAATATCTCATTAAATTTAATGCAGTTATGGCAGAAAAAACAATCTGTCCATAATTGTTTAATTGAAAGTAAATAAAGTTTCTAGTAGGGTGGGGAAGAGTATCAGTCATCAACAAGATTTTATGTATAATTTTTTACTTTATTATATTAAGAGAAAGTAGTAAAAATTTCAAGAGTTTTCATTGAAAATACAAGTTTCAAGATCCTCTGATTCCAAACAGCCAAGTATAGCAGAACGGATTATGTGGTTTGTATTGGAACATTACAGCTCAAAAACAAAAAGACATGTAACCCTGAAATTATATATTTAACTTAGTTTTATGACTGCAGTGCACGTTAGGACATGGTTTATTCAATCCCAGAGTGCCTGGCTCATAAAGTTATGGATTCATTTCCCACTTTTTGTTGGTTAATATTTATTTCTCGGCAGCCCAGGAAAATAAATCTTGACATCTCCACTCTGGTAAGTATGCAGCAGCAAGATAGCGACCAAGAGTCACCAAAAAGGACAATTGAATTCACTTGTCAGACTACTTCCAGCCACCAGTAGTTATATACCAGAGACGTTATAGCAACTAATTTTACTAAAATTGACTCGCCTAGAAATGCTACTTAACATAATCGATAATCTTATACATTCAATGTTAGTTCCGCACTAATAGTAGCTATGTATATATTTTAATAATAATAAATTGAAGATTTAATCAGTAGCAGATTTATTTATATACATATATACTTGATATAATCTATATATATATATATATATATATATATATATATATATATATATATATATATATATATATATATATATTTATAATCAGGGTGAATGCGCCAGTTATGGACAGGGGGCCCAGTGATGGACAGGTTGGACTTTAAATGTAAATAATAAGCTTCATTGTTAATTTAAAGCTTCCATTTTTTTCTAGATTGAAGAACAAAGCCTTATATTGACAACTCTATGAACAAGAAAATTTTAAAATCTCTATCCTTGTTGTTTCTATAATGCTCTTGAGACCAGTGTGTTTCATACCTTTCTACTAATAATTTTGCTAAGACTAAGTTCAACATTTATATTATGTTATCTTTATAGTTAAATAAAGATTTTAGAATTTTTCTCTGCAGCACTTACTAGACAAACGCTCTAAGCTTTCAATCAATTACAAACGACTCATATGTATGACAATAATAAGACCTATTTGAACTTACAGAATTGAGCTTTGGGGCTCCACTAAACCATCAAATTCCTCTTGTATCCAATCCTTACAATCTAAAATCCTCAACGCTGCTTATTTTGTCACAAACAAAAGCATCCATAAAGACCTCAATGTTCCATATATTTCCAATTTGGCCCAATCCAGATACCTATCCTTCCATAACAAACTGCAGAACCATCCGAACCCTCTTGTTTCAAAACTTACTTCCTCTTCGATCCCTGATAAGCCTCCGAGGCGTCTGAAAAGAAGATGGCCTTGGGACCTTCTAATATAGAACTTTAATTTGAGTTCTACCAATGGGTAGTTTCTCTTCATGTTGTACATGTCATGTTACCAATGTCACATTTACTTGTTATATTTTTCATGTAATACAGTTGTAAATTTCATTAAAATAAATAAAATAAAAAATAATTTTTCTGAGGTATTTCTATTACAGGTACCGACCCCCTGTCCTTTACTAGAACAATTGAATTTCGGAATGACTAGTGCAAAAAGGTGTTTTTTGTAAAGGGGGATTATATCTGCATAACTGATTTTTTTTTTTTCAATTTTAAAATGTTAAACAGAAAAAGGAAACTAGAGATTTTAAATGTTCAACGGAGAAGTTTATAACTATTATAATTATGGTGGCATAAGCCAAAAATGATGAAAATTTTCTTAGCTATGTCCATCATTGGTGCGCTTACTCTACTCTGAAAAAGAAAGAATTACGTAAAATGATGTTTAAGTTATCCTTGAAAGTCTTTTAAAAAAACAAAACAGGAATGATTATGCTTTTATGATTTTTTTTTTTTGTTTGTGATGTGCTTATATGTGTTTTAATTTAAAAAGATAATATATTTTGATTGTTTAATTATTTAGTTCAGTTCACTCACAGAAACAAAAATATGTACTCTTTAAATTGTAAAAAAAAAATATTTATAAATTACTTATAAAAGCTAAAAGTTTTTTTTATTTTATTTTTTACAGTTCTTCAAAGCATTGGATGACTTATGAAAATTATTGTGAATAGGGACAAACTATAGGATCACGGGGTGAGGGGTATGCCAATATGCAATATATAATATATTCCTATATGGAAAATCTGGTTTGCGTGCCTCTGAGCATGTAGGTGCCTTGATCCAAGCATGCTAACTGTCCACCAGCGTATTCATGGATCCAGTCGCTTACCTCTTCTCTCTCTCAACCGGGCCATACGATCCATCCATGACTTCCTTGGCCTGCCTCTTAATCTTTTACCAGTTGGTTTTGTACGATGCCCCGAAGAACCTATATGCCCTCGTAAGTAGCTACCTCCAGAACAGGTTTGTCAAGGTCAAAGATAGCTCTAATGAAACTGAAGCTTCCATTGAGAGAAGATACCCTCAGGGATCAGTCCATGGTCCGACTCTATGGAAGCTAGTATATGATGAGTTGCTGGGTATGCCCGAAGATGAGTGATCCCCTGCGACGGCCTACGTGAATGACTTGGCATCAGTAGTAGCGTCAAACAGAAGAGACGGAATAAAGCTACAAGCAGAGCATTGCGCCGATCTGGTTGGGCAATGGTGTGAGAGGATGGAGTTACGAATGACCACATCAAAGACCCAGGCGATCCTGCTGAGCGGAAAGACAGGACACACACTATCAATCTATGTATACAGAGAAGGAGAGTAGGTCTAAGTGAGGTAGACACCTACCTTGGCATAAGGTTTGAAAGAGGATTTAATATGACCCCTTATTTGGACTGCTTAGGAAATAGGGTGGCTCTTGCCTTGAATGGCCTAAGTCGTTTAGGGGGTGCATTTTGGGGCCTCAGATATCCAGCTATGAGAACCATTTACAGTGGAATGATACTTTATATTCTGAAATACCCCTATTCTGCGTGGTCTCAGAACCTCTCACACCGTCATAAACGCATATTGGCGGCAATTCAACGTACGGCTATTTCACCTAGTCATACCGAAATGAGTCTCACGAGGCGGTGTAGATTTTAGCAGGAGTACCTATCGACCTTCTGTGAGAAGACTAATTGATATTTAAGTTCAAAAGAGAAGGCTCAGAACGTCTTCCGAAGAATATACGGGTGAGGATTGCATAAGACCCAAGAAAATGGAAAAAGATTATCCGGGAGAATAGCACAGATGTGTGGAATAGACGATGGTTAACTACCTCGAAAGGAGCGACCTTCAGAAAATATTTCCCCACCGTCCGAAATTGCTTGAAAGCTAAGTGGGTTCTCCCGGACTACTGGGTGTCTCAATTCCTTAATAGGCATAGGAGTTTCCTGACCAAGTTGCACAGTCTTGGAAAAGACATAGATCTTCTATGCTCCACTTGAGGAGTACCGGAGACAGCTGAGCACGTCATGGACTAAGGGCCAGAATGATGAGGAAAATTGGACTCTATGGCCTCACGGAGGGTGAATTTCCCCATTTAGTGGCGGAGCAGAACTACCCTTATTACAAAGATTTTGTGTTCGGTGGAAAGCGCTCTGGGTCCGGCACACTTCAATCTAGGAAGAAGGGAACCTGTTCATGGAAGGCCGCCAGACTGATATGGTAAAAAGAAAATAAAGGAAACAAAACAGTTTTTGTTAAAAAAGTGTTAAAATATATGCCATCCCGTGTAGCCGAAAGGCAAGGAAGGGAGGAATGAACAAATAAATATATACAGTTAAGTGAAAGTAAAAATTACCATGTCAGATATTAAGTTGTTTCAAGCCCTTCCTGATGACAAAAATTGTTAAATCACACAAAATACTTTTCATTTGTTTCATAGACAAAATTAAGAAGAAAATCCGACTTGAATGCCGAAGTTCTACTATTCACAATTTTATTTATATGAATAATAATCTGATGACAACATTACGTTATTAGAGATATTTTCCATTATGATTCATCGGTTATCAATTCGATTAAATATTCAATCTAAGCCTTAGAGCTTGTTTATCATCCATTTTTACGCAATCTTTTCAATTGAGTTTGGAAATATGTTTTTTATTGATCCGTTTGCCAGGGCGAACCTCTTTGGTCAAATGAAAGTAGGCTGTTCATTTGTGCCTCCATGTCTCCAGTTTTAAGGGATATGAGAAAAGTATCTCTGTTGTCCTGCTATGTAGGGCTGTCTCCTCTAAAATTCGACAATAAACAATTGTCTGTTTCTAAGATAGTCGTATTTTTTATTACGTTATATTCTCTTCTTCTGACTTTCGTGGCTTTAGTCACTGATGTATTCTTCAGCAGAAGAAATTATGAAGGACAACTAGCTAGGTTGGTATTGGCCCCGCTTCAAGCCTTATCTTGCATTTTAATCTTTCTCAGTTCTCTGTATGCGTTTTGCCATATTAAAAAACTGAATCGTTTTCTTCACGATATGGAGATGGTCGATGCTTATTTGAAAAAGTTTAATTTTTCCAAATCATTTCCTTCCAACCTTTCTATTCCTACTTCATCCCTTATTTGTGTAGTTATATCTCTCGTTATCAAAATAAATTTGATAACAGATAAGCCATCGTATTTGTACGTAACCCTCCAACACATAGTATGGGCACTGATACCAATACCAATTTATCAACTGAAAGGTTTCTTAATGATCATCAGTTCTCGGATTGAAGAGATCCTTGCGATCTTGAGAGATACCAGGTCAAATAATACGCTTTGTGTCTTGACGAAATGCCACTGTTTGGTTGCAAGATCGGCAGAACAATTGAACGATGCAGTTTCTCTGATGTTCTTTTCAATTATCCTGTTTATTTTTATTCTCCTTATAGGAGAACTATATTCGTTATACTTTTTATCTTTTGTGTTTAAATATGGTAAAATGTTGGTCAGAATAACTTGGATAATTTACGGCTTTACTATAATCATTCCCTTAGTTTCAACTTGCGATTTAATATGTAAACAGGTAAGTATTTTATATTGTGTAAAACATCATTATCTTCACCAAATTTAGAGCATGTTATTTTCGTTCCAGACTCAAGAATTTTATCAACTCTTATATCGTTTAATGATCCACGATAAATCTGACCAGGTCTGGGGCAACGTGAGTATATAAAAATAGATTTTATCATTTATCGAAAATATCTTAGGTATTTTTGAAAAAACAAAACAAGAAATAATGAATATTTCTTCAATTCAAGCTTCAATCATCACTACTTAAAAAAATGGTATCGCATTGTATAAAGACCAGATATATGACTTCTATCTATCCAAATGAGATCATAGAGATATAGATATCATAGATATTTATCAGAGTTCATTTAACAGTTTTGTAACATATTTATTACTATCAACCACAGGCGGATCTACGGGAGGGGCTTTCGGGCTGAAGCCCCGCTCTCCCCCCCCAAAATGGTTAAATATAACCATGTTTTACAGAAAAAAATATTAAAAACTATCTCTTAAAGTATTCTTGTTCGTGTAATTACATCTAATAGGACTTCAAGAACCACTTAAACACCATTTCATATAGATAGTTAATTTATTTATTTTTTTTCTAAGTAATTATTGTTATATGTATATGAAAAAAAATCTTTAGGGCTGAAGCCCCCCCCCAAATTAAATCCTGGATCTCTAGAGCTATCAAAAGGGTTGTGACTAACCAAAGTTTTTTCTGTTACTGTATATGCGGGGGGCCAAGAAGGGAGTTTCAAAGCGCAATTGCTCCATTAATATTGTTGAGGGGGCACATTGCGATGGGGTTTTTAATTTTTGAGTTACATGAATTTACGGAATAAAAAGTTTTAAACGAAAAGACAAATGGAAGCATTAACAGGAAGTGTTTTTGTATAAAACTGACGATTTTTCTAATTTTACTTTTGCTTGCACTGTTTTTAAGATGAGGCAAGCAACAGAATATCTTGGTAGAGAAGAGTTGTTGCAAGATAGAGAATAACATATGTCGGTGACAATACTTGACACATATACGGTGAAAATTGTCAAGGCTTATTTGCATAGTAACTCTCCAGCGTTTTCAACTTCAACAAACTTAAAAACTCCTTCCGCCCTAATACATACAAAATAAAACTTAATATATTAGTCCGTGGTGTAGATCTCTCTTTATCAAATTATTAACATCCACCTGAAACTTCGTAAATAGCTTTATCTCATCGTAACCTACAAATATTTTATTTACAAAATTCTAGGAATTGGGGCTTTTTCAATCTAGAGATTGACAAACTTTGTCTATTTAATTAGGTACTAAAAACTCTCAAATACCAATTTGCTATACACATGGATCGTGAGATAATTTGAGCACAAAGTCGAGAAAAATGATGGCCTTAAAAATATTGAGCCTTTTGTCGTGACCTACCCCTCTCCCCAAATTTTCAAAATAAAAAAGTTATATAGGCCAAACGGCTCAATATTTTTGAAGGTCACTTTTTTTCTCGAGTTTGTGCTCAAATTATCTTACGATTCAAGTGGATAGCAAACTTTTACCTATTAAATAAACAAAGTTTGACGATGTCTAGATTCAAAAAAAAGGCACCAATCCCGAGAATTTTCGTAAATAAAATATTTGTAGATTACGATAAGATAAAGATATTTACGAAGTTTCAGGTGGATGTTAATAGTTTGATAAAGAGGGGTCTATACCACGGACTGTATGTGTAACCACTTGTTTTATTTCTGTCACTTTTATTATTTAAAAAATAATAATTAGATTAGGATTTGATTGATAAAAATTGCTTCCTTTTTTCTCTTTTTCCAGCCTTGGAATTTTCCTGAAAACTTTTTCTACAAAATGAAAAAACTAGTTCGACTTAAAAAGTTTCTTTTTGGGGTTATGTTTAACAATACCATTGTAATTCTCCTATTTTCATCATTTTTAGCCTGATTATGAAAGAGACAAAACAAAAATCGCGGTGACAACATTCAGCTTGTTTGATCATAATTGTTAAGGCTCGTTTTCATACTAACTCACGCATTAAAAGGCTGAGTTTAGTAAAGCTTAAAAGATAAAGTTTCAAAACTATTATTAATATTTTTTAAGCGTATTTTCTTATAATATGCTCTAAGAGAATTTAATACTTGACTTATTGGCCTAAAATGTTTGATAAATTGCTTTATACGATTCATCTTCGGGATACCAAGGGATGCCTCTGTTTCCCATTTTTATGCAGAGTTGAAGTGGCTTTATCCTCCCTACCGTCGCCAGTATTTCCTGGCATCCTTCCTCTTTCAAGTCATCCAATCCCACCGCCCTTCATACATCTCCGAGCTCCTCCAATTCAAATCCTCTGTAAATATGTATATAAATTGTTAGTTCGTTCCTCATTATTTTTACTTCATCCTTTTTTTTATTTTTTTTATTATTAACTGATTAAAATTAGAAAGTAACTTATAATTTTTCATTTTTTTACTATGACTGTTTAATTACTCTGTATTTTTATTTATTTATCTCTAAGGCTCCTTAGTCTATATTTATGTCTTTCTGTATTATTCTAAAGGACTCGTCCCAGAATAAATAAAGTATTATTATTATTATTACGTGTGAGCCTAATATCCTCAGTGTTATTAAGAAGAGCAGACTAAGATGGCTGGGTCATGTTGAAAGAATGGACCTCTCTTTGTAGACTACCAAAAATTAGGCTGAATGGTACCCTAGGAGGAAAAGGAAAAACAGGCAGCCCCAAGCACCGTTGGCTGGATGTTCTGGAAGAAGACTTGAGGATGCTTGTATCAGAAATTGGGAAAACCTAGCTGTGGACCAAGAGGAATGGAGAAAACTGTGGCAAAGATTCAGTTCATAAAAGAACTGTATCACCCATTCAAGAAGAAGATGAACATAACATTTTTATATAATTGCCCATCGCTTTGTTGATATCTCAGATGGTGTTATAGTCAATTATTTAACTTAACTTTCAATTAAGAGTTTTCATTTGGTATCAGTGGCGTCACTTTTCTGAATAAAAAAGGAAATTACTGAAAAGTTTTACGTTAGTGATTTTATCCATTGACTTATCAATCCCCACATACATTAATACAGCAAGGCTCGAAATCGGTTTTGTACCAAATATAAGCTCCTGTCATGCTCAAATACCATGAATGGGGTATTTTGGATTCAGAATTTCACGGGGGGTTAGCGAATCGTATTCTCCACTTTTGTTTTTCTTTCTAAAATAAATAAAGTCGATACAAACATTTTTCTAGACTTCAATACTGGAACGGTGGTAGGTCTGTAGATTGATACGAGACAAATTGGACCTGGAAGATTTTGATGCGTACAGAACTATCGGATCCTGTGTTTAAGCCCAAAAACGTACTATTTTCGAGATAACGCAAGGCATAGGGTTCGCATCCCCACAACCTTACATTAATTGTAGTACTGTCATTGAATACATGTCTCATTTCGTCTACTTGAGGTCTCTATATTCGAGAGAGGAGGAGTTTATATTATTTATAGATGGTGTTTTTGATAGGCAAGCCATATCATCGTTAATTCTTCACCAAATCTCAAAATTGAGCCACCAATTTCGAAGGCTTCCTTCTCCTTCAGGCGGGTGAAATAGTTCAATCACTCCGAAAACTCAGGCAAACAAGTTATGAAAGAAAACAAACTTTACTTGCGTATAACTAAGAATCACACACTTTTCCCTCGGTTATTCCCATGATTACATAAAACATTACTAAATTGTCTACAAAATTAAAAAAAAAATCATCGAAATCGGACAATTTTTAGCAAAGATACAGCTTATTGAAATTTGTAAACATGTTGGTTCCAAACAAATATGAATATTTAAATTAATTTTTGTTTCCTTTGTCGATTACATTTATCGATAAAGTAACAGTTGATTTCTGTATCTTTTGATACCTTGCATTATTTTATTTTATTATTAATTTGGCATTTGATAACAATGCGAATTTTGCGTACGGGGCTACTAGTTTAAACAATTATTTTAATATTTTTCAGATTAACTCGTGTTGATAAATAAAATGTTACTTTGTTTTTTATAATTGTTTTGATAATGTAATCCCGATATCTGTGGCATTCACAGACATGTTATTATTATGATTACTGTTGCACAAACATTAGTTGTCTCTTTACTTTATGAAGAATTATAATGATTTATGATATTATCTGAGTGCAATTATTCCGTCGCATCCTAAAGCCAGAAATTCTTCACTGTCTTAAAACATATAAAAATACTTGATAAGGTCTTTGGCACATATTTTATTAATTATAATTGCTGGTTGACTTTTCGATCGCAAGAGAACGGGATGGCCGAGCAAGTTGGGGCATGGGTCTTTGAGTGCACGGTTCTGGGCGTTGTAGATTCGATTTCCACTTTGGTCGGCAATTTTTATTTTTCGGCGGCTACGGAAAAATGAATCTTGACATTCCCATTTCCTTTTAAACCCATCAAAAAGTAAAAAAAGGGGGGAGGGAATGTTAAGCAAATTTTCTTTTCGTTGTGTTAAGATAATATTTTGAATAATTGGTCATTAGAAAGAGGATGAAATGCTAAAAATTTCACTTACCTACAGTAGGCATCTCCGAAATTTAGTTTCTCATTTATTTTATTATATTATATATTATTAAACTTGTTATCAGTTCTTTTTTTCCCCCTTTTTCCCTAGTCGCGTTGAGATACAATTTTGAATATCATTACAAACATTTTACTAACAGTATTCCTTTCCGAATTTTAGTTTCTGAGATATTTTAATCTATATGCCCATTTTGTGAGTCACCTAATTGAAGTGTTTTTGCATATGGATTAAAATATCTCAGAAACTATAATTCAGAACTGCATCTTTGTAAACAGCTGTTATTCAAAACTGTATCTTAACGCGACGCCGTGTTAGAGAGGCGAAAAGGAATAAAAATAGTGTCGAAAACAAAATGATAACAAGTTTAGTTTAAAATATAGATTAAAGTATCTCAGAAACTAAAATTCGGACTTGTATCCTGTATGGTAGGAAAATGTTCAGAATATCATTCTCTTTCTAATGATCTATTATTCAAAATTGTATCTTTACGCGACCAAGAGAAAATTTTATTAAAAATACCTAAAATGTTTTAATTCTTGATTGGTTCAAATGCCCCTAAAACCTTAAATCGACCTGTCTGAGTTGGCAGACGAGCATTTTTGTAATACCTAACAAGAGTAATATGAGCCTAAAATACTACGGTCTTTTTGGCCCTGGCTCTAGCTTAGATCACTCTCATATTCAAATATGGACCAATGAAAAAACAAAATTGTTTTTACATTTCAGCCCGAAAGCCTCCCATTGCTTTCCAATATGTTCCACGTATGTTCCACGTATACATTATCTTTGTCAATTCGATCTATCCATATAGTTTTCGGGGGGAAGGTAAGGTGGTCTGGTGGGCTAATGCGTGTACACAGTTCTCGTTGTTTGGCAACCCGGATCAAAGATAATTTTATTATTATTACGAGCTCGCTTCCCGGTGGTTAGGGGTGGTTTTAACTCTGGCATTAATCCCCCACACTCACTCCTGACCCGGGAAAACTATAACCCCATGTAGCCTGGATGATGTACCGCCCATCTTAACCTCCTTGTATTCAGAAGATTGATTGCTTGAATACCTTTGAAAGTGAAAAGAAAGCTCAACTTGCGATTTTTATACCTTAGTCTGTTTCCTGCGGTTTATCATTCGTTGAAGTTATTATGGGGCCGAGATCGAAACGATTTCTTTTCTAAGCAAAACCAGTTATTGGAGTGGAATTCGCGGCTTATTGTCATATATTTTGTTTTCTCTTCCTTTATTTATAGACCTATTTGTTCAGCCTCTCTTTTCACTCTTAGCCTGTTTTTCTATGCTTTCTTAATTGCTTACAAGAACAACTGTTTCATTTACATATACAAGGATCTTATGATTCTTTTCGAAGTGCATCCCCTCATTTTCACGTGAAAGTAACAAATATAAACATTTTTGAAAAATAATTAATAGTTAGAGATAAGTTTTGGTATTTTAACATTTTCAGAAAAACTAAACTAATTCTCTCACCTTTAAATGAATCCTTTCATGTTTTCAATCATTAATTTAATTATTATCAATCATTAATGAATAATTAGTGAGGTGATTAAATTAATCACTCAATGAATGCGCGCTGGAGAGAGAAATACTTTATTTAAAGTATTTTAGGAATATTTTAATTGTTTCTTTTTCTAAAAATGTATTGAAAATTAAATAAAATACATAAAGCATTCATCAATACCTATATTTTTCATTTTCAAATATACCAAGAAAGGTAAGTGGACCTAGGACTCCACCTGGACAAACGACTAACTTGGAATCCTCATACTAGACTGAAACGACAAGAAACCGCTCGACTTTCCAATTACTTCAGCACTTACTAGTCAAACGCTCTAAACTTCCAATTAATTACAAAAACCTCATATACTTGACTATAATAAGACCTATTTGGACTTACGGAATTGCGCTATGGGGCTCCACTAAACCATCGAATTCCTCTCGCATCCAATCCTTACAATCCAAAATCCTTCTTAGAATCCTCAATACTCCTTACTTTGTCACCAATAAAATTATCCATTAAGATCTTAATGTTCCTTATGTTTCAGATCTGACCCAATCCAGATACCTATCCTTCCATAATAAACTTCAGAATCATCCCAACCCTCTCGTTTCTAACCTTGCTTCCTCTTCAATTCCTGATAACCCTCCGAGGCGTCTGAAAAGAAGATGGCCCCGTGATCTCCTAATGTAGTCATATCATTAGAGTGCTACCATTGGGTAGTTACTCAGCAAGTGTATTCATGTCATTATATCTATTATGTCCAAATTTACTTGATGTATTTATGTAATACAGTTGTAAATGTCATTAAGAAATAAAAAAAAAAAAAAAAAAAGGTAAGTGGAACTAAATTTTTTTTTTTAGACTTTTATGTCACTTTACACTTGTTTGAAGAAAGACATCAAGTTCTGTGCTTTTGGTGCGTTTTGTATCGACAATAAACTTCTGAAATCAGTGAGTAGTTAATATTATTAGGATGTTAAGTTTTTTTGTTTTGATTTTATTCTTTTGATGTTATCAGAAAATCTAATCGTAAATAAATATTATTGCTAATATTTTCCTTCTTTCAGATCTCGGTTGGAATACTTACACATTTGATCATTCTTATTCAGGTGAGCCAAGAAATACCCGACTACCCTCTGAACGCTCATCATACCGAAGTATCACAGTAGAAGAAATTAATATTTTGGATCTTTCATCTATTGTAAAGAGATAAAATGTTTTAATAATAGTTTGTTAACTATTTGTAAGACACTGGTCTAGCTAGCGATATATTTGTCTGTTGGTTTTTAAAAGAAACAGAAGCACTAATCTATCTTATTTAGGACATTTAATTGAAGATAGATGTCGCTTAAGAAGATGGAAGGTTCCAGAGAGATGTTTTATCGTAATCGATAATCGATATTTCGACCAAAATGCATTGAGCCTCTTTTGTCAACGTGTGTTTATTTGATTATGTGCTCCATCTGATATTTGTTTTCCGCTAAAATATTTTTTTTTTTTTAAATTTCTTTATTGAGTATTATAACAATCTGTCTGTTCGACATTGGTTATAGTGAGGTAGGATGACATTCACACCATATGTACAAAAAAATAAAATAAATAGAACAAAATAATAATCAAAAGTATATACAATAGACAATAAAATAAAATAACCTAAAAAATAAGAAAATTAAAACTAAGGAAAAAAAAAAAAAAAAAAAATAACATGCATACCTATATACAATCAGGCGAGGGAACTCCAGGAGAACCCTGCGCTACTCTTCCAACCGCGTCACTGGTACTAAAGCCAGCGGAGATTGGTCGAGAGCACTTTAGCCACATACACACATGTCTTGAGTGAAGAATCTGGCCATTGCCAGAACTCCAATTTATATAATTTACAAAAGGTCGCGAGGCCACTGCCGTTTCAACCTTCTTGGAGGATTATAGGGATGGGAGATGCTTGATAGGGATTGTGCAAGAGGATTTGGGTGGTAAGTAAGGTTCTGGTGAAATTTGGAGAACTTTTCTGGGATAAGGTCTAGGACAAATGGGATGTTAAGGTCATGATGTAGGGTTTTGTTGGATACATAGAAAGGAGCATCGACTATTGTTCGAAGGACTTTAGACTGGAAGGATTGGATGCGCTTGATGTTAGAAAATTTTGCTGATCCCCACAGTTCTAGTCCGTAAGTCCAAATAGGTTTCAGTATTGTCTTGTAGATCAGTAGCTTGTTTTCAATGGAAAGTTTAGATTTTCTGCTTAGTAGTCGGTATAGTTGGCCGTATCGTCGGTTGAGTTCTTGTCTTTTGAGTCTAGTATGCGGGTTCCAAGTTAGTCTTCGGTCTAAATGAAAGCCAAGATACCGGACTGTGTCTGAATAAGGAAGCTGGATGGAATTAAGGAGTACTGGTGGACAGGAATTGCGTCGGAGTGTAAAAGTAATGTGTTGGCATTTAGATTCATTAACTTTAATGCGCCAGTTATTACACCAGTGCTCAATCAAGGTGAGATGACTTTGGAGATTTAAGGATGCTATTTCGGGATCAGAGTTGGATGATAAGATTGCGGTGTCGTCAGCGAATGTTGCAAGAAAAGTATCGGGATGAACAGGGATGTCAGCAGTAAAGAGGATGTAAAGCACGGGACCCAAGACGCTGCCTTGGGGAACACCGGCTTTAACGGAGTAGATATTGGAAAATTCTGTTCCACAGCGAACTCGAAAGGAGCGGTCAGAGAGGTAGGATCGGAGGACTAGGTACAAGGACTGAGGTAAATGGATTTTAAGCTTGGAGAGCAGTCCGGAGTGCCATACCCGGTCAAATGCCTGTGCAATGTCCAGAAAGGCACCCGAACAGTATTCCTTGTTTTCTAGGGCTGAGGAAATATGATCAACAACTCGGAGTCCTTGTTGAACAGTAGAATGTTGAGAGCGAAAACCAAACTGATGGGAAGGGATATTTTGGGATTCTATAATGGGTAGGATTCGTTTCAAAAGGATCTTTTCAAAAATTTTTGAAAGGATTGGGAGTAGGCTGATTGGTCTATAGGATGTTGAGCTATTGAGAGGTTTTCCTGGTTTTGGGAAAAGGATAATAGTGGAGTGTTTCCATAACAGAGGGAAGTGGGTGGTGCGTAGGATACAATTGTAGATATATGTAAGGAATATGACTGCTTTGGATGGAAGTTGTCGAAGGATTTGAGGTGTAAGGAGATCATGTCCAGGAGCTTTACGGAGGATTAGTTTTTTTAATTGAAATTTTACTTCGGAAGGATGAATAGCTTTTGGGGGCAAGGAAAGTGGGATTGGTGATGTAAGGAGTTCTTCTACTGTTACGGTGTGGGCAGGATGGGATTCCGGATGTGAAATAAATGTATTGGATAGGTGAATGGCGAACTCCTCAGCTTTATCTTCGTCAGATGCTGCCCAGGAGCCATCACCTCGTCGGAGAGGATGGGAAATGCGGTGAGGATTTAGGATTTTTGTTGTGGTTTTCCAAAGGGAATTGTCGCGAGAAGAGAGGGAGGATAGGTAGGAGTTGAAGGATTGTGATCTGAAGGTGGCTAATTCCAGTTTTAATTGTTTGCAGTAGTAATTATAGGAGCAGCGGTCGGTAGGATGTCGGGTACGTTGCCATAATAATCTGGCACGGCGTTTGGTGCGGATTAGGTTAAGGAGGTGTTGGGGTAGAATGGTCTTTATAGGAATTCTGGAGGAGTCTTTTGGGAAGGAGGCAGTCCAGGCGGCTTGTTGGATTGTGGTAGTAAAGGAATTTACGGCACTATCAAGGTCATCGGGAGTTTTGAGGGATATGTTGAGATCAATATTATCGGAGATTATTTGGCGGAAAAGGTCCCAGTTTACTGGGCCCCTAATGAATGACGGTGGAGAAGGTTTGGGAACAGGTTCAAGTGAAACATTAAGGATTAGAGGACTATGGTCAGAGGAAAGTTCATTTAGACGTGTAATGGAACAATTGAGGGGACTTAAGCCGCTGTGGATAAAGAAATCAAGAAGATCAGGATTACGGTTGGGATCTGTGGGCCAGTAGGTAGGAGAGTTGGGGGAAAGGAGGTGAAAACGTTGGGAATTGAGTGCAGACAGCAGGGTTCGGCCACGAGAATTCGTGGTTCTGGAACCCCATTGTTGGTGCTTGGCATTTAGGTCTGCACCCAAGATGAAGTGATGTCCTAAGGAGTCGAGGAGAGAACTGAATTGGGCATTGGATATGGATCGGTTAGGAGGGCAATACGCTGATGCAAGAGTGACCGGAAAGGAGAAGGTTTTTATCACGATAGCGGTGGACTGTAGGAAATCATGTATTGGTAATGGGAGTAGGTGATGGGAGAGGGATTGGTGTACAATTACAGCAGTACCGGCATGTGCTTTTCCGTCAGGGTGGTCAGTACGATATGTCAGGTATTGTGGTATATTGAAGTGCTGTTTAGTGGTTAGTCGAGTTTCAGTAATTAGTGCCACATCAATGTTCTTGTCAAGTAGTAAAGTAGATAGTTCGTCTGTATGATTTCTAACACCATTCGCATTCCAAAGGAGAATGGATATGGGTTTAGGGATGTGAGTCATTTAAGGATTTTTCAAAGGAGGGATGAGGTGAGATACGAGATTCGTGAGGAGTGATATGAGTGGAGTAACAAGGGATTTGAAATCGGCGAGGAAAGATGCTAACAAACTTGTGAGATCTGTTGCATTTGAAGGAGGAGGAATATGAGGAATTTGTTGTTGGTGGTTAGGTATATTAGGATGAAGAGGATTTTGAGGTTGGGTTTGAGGTTGTTGTTGTGGCAGGGCTTGACATTTATCGGTTAAAGTCTTACCTCTAAGTAGTTGGGAGAATGATACATCATTGTTTACAATTCTGGAAGGCTCTCTCTCTCTTCTTGTTCTTAGTGCTTCATCTTGAATCCGGTTTTTCTGGTGTCTGGTTTTGAGATTCTTGTAAATTTGGCAGCCTTTGTAGTTGGCCGGGTGTCCCTCCAAGCATAGGGCACATACTGCTGGATCTTGTATAGGTTTGGTGCACTCTACAGATTTGTGCTGTTCACCGCACTTCACGCAACGCGGCAGATGGTGGCAATATGTCTTCGTGTGGCCATAGGTCTGACAATTATGGCACTGCACGATGTCTCTCTTGGGATATGGCTTCTCAACTTTCACCATTGTATAGTATATTCTTGTGATATCATATATTTTTTCGATACCTGGTGATGGCTCCAAGTCCACGAAAAACAATGGTAGTGGGATCCTATTTCGTAATCCTGGCTGCTCCCTGTCCTCCTTCAAAACGTTTGTTACCTGGCGTACATTGAAACCAAGCGTCGTTAGTTCTTCTTTAATAACTTCAGTGGGGGTTGAGGAATGTAAATTTCTTATCACCACTCGTAAAGCTCTTTCCTGCCTCAGCTGGTAAGTGTGAAAATTCGCATTTGTTTCTGATAAGTACTTCACTATTTTTCGGTAGGCTTCTGCAGAATCAGGTGTTATCTTGGTGTCATTGGTCCTGTTAAGGCATGAATAACTGCCAGAGCAGATTTTATTTAGTTGGGTGCAGAACATCTGGAAATTTTTTATATTTTTCACAAATATCGGAGGAGGCTTTGGTTCTCTGGGTATTGCTGCAGACTCCATTACTTCTTTGTCATTTTGAAGCACTTGGTAGGGGTTTGGAGTAAAGAAAGGTGATTCTTCAATCGTTTCTTGTGCAGACGTACCTGGTTGGGGCTGAGGTTCTGGTTCTGAAGTGTTCATTTTGGTCACTGGAGGTATTTCTCGTAGGCAGCGACGAGTCCTTTGTTTGGCTGGTGAGCTAACTCCGTCTGACCGAGACCTCTTGGGCACCTTACTGGCCATCACTTGCTGATCATACCGCATATCATAAGAGAAAAATAAATAAATAAATAAAAAAAAAGAAAAAAAAAAATTTTTTTTTTTTTTTTTTTTTTTTTTTTTTTTCTTAAAATAACAAAAAAAAAAAGATGCCAACAGTAAATATCAACTGCTCTGATATACACTTTAACTGTATCACGTGAATAATCAGAGAGATTCCGCTATAAAATTGGTAAAAACTGAGAGAGGAGTTGAGGAGACCCTAAAATATTAAACTTAGTTTTGTTGATGTATGGACTGTATATTTATTTAATAAAATAAATTACTTACCGCTTACCCTTATT